AGTACCAGTGTCCCCTGTACCAGTGTTCCAGTACCAGTGTCCCAGTAACCAGTGTCCCAGTACCAGTGTCCCAGTACCAGTGTCCCTGTACCAGTGTTCCAGTACCAGTGTCCCAGTACCAATGACCCAGTTCCAGTGACCCAGTACCAATGTTCCAGTACCAGTGTCCCAGTACCAGTGTCCCAGTTCCACCCAGTACCAGTGACCCAGTACCAGTGTCCCAGTACCAGTGTCCCAGTTCCAGCACCAGTACAGCAGTCCAGTACCAGTGTCCCAGTACCAGTGACCCAGTACCAGTGTCCCAGTTCCAGTAGACCCAGTACCAATGTTCCAGTACCAGTGTCCCAGTAACAATGTTCCAGCACCGTGTCCCACAGTGACCCAGTACCATGTTCCAGTACCAGTGTCCCAGTACCAAACTCCAGTACCAGTGTCCCAGTACCAGTGACCCAGTACCAGTGACCCAGTACCAGTGACCCAGTACCAGTGACCCAGTACCAGTGACCCAGTACCAGTGACCCAGTACCAGTGACCCAGTACCAGTGACCCAGTACCAGTGACCTAGTACCAGTGACCCAGTACCAGTGACCCAGTACCAGTGACCAGTACCAAACAGTGACCCAGTACCAGTGACCCAGTACCAGTGACCCAGTACCAGTGACCCAGTACCAGTGACCCAGTACCAGTGCTAGTGTAATCCCCAGGGCAGTAAGAATCCCGAACAGTTTGCCCGAGGGAGTTGTTACATCGCCAACCATAAATACGCTTAAAAAATAGATTAACGTGAGTCACGGGAGGAACTTTTAATACTATATGATGGATTATTTTGGTCATGCAGTGAATTTTAGAGAATTTTAATGTTAGGTTAGGTTGAAATTATGGTTCTCCAATGGTTAGGTTAGGTTGAAATTATGGTTCTCCAATGGTTAGGTTAGGTTGAAATCATGGTTCTCTAATGGTTAGGTTAGGTTGAAATTATGGTTCTCCAATGGTTAGGTTAGGTTGAAATCATGGTTCTCTAATGGTTAGGTTAGGTTGAAATTATGGTTCTCTAATGGTTAGGTTAGGTTGAAATTATGGTTCTCTAATGGTTAGGTTAGGTTGAAATTATGGTTTTCCAATGGTTAGGTTAGGTTGAAATTATGGTTCTCCAATGGTTAGGTTAGGTTGAAATTATGGTTCTCCAATGGTTAGGTTAGGTTGAAATTATGGTTCTCCAATGGTTAGGTTAGGTTGAAATTATGGTTCTCTAATGGTTAGGTTAGGTTGAAATTATGGTTCTCCAATGGTTAGGTTAGGTTGAAATTATGGCTTTCCGGTGATTCTTGATGTGTTTTGAACAACTTCAGAATAGATGCTTTACTGAAACGATAATTTTACCTCATATAACGACTACAAAACAGATTTACTTTATAGTACCACAGAGCAGCACAGGACCATAGATTCTATAACTGAGGATCCTTATATATTGAGCTGAAAACCTACATTAATTAAACTTAAGTAAGTATTCTAACCTAACCACAGAACCCAGGAACTATATCTAATAAAGTAATAAAATAAAATAAAAATTTCAAAATATTACGATTCTTCTCAATGGAGACAGTAAGTCACACAACTCCTTCATTAATCCCTAATTAATAAATGTTTCAAATAATCCTGAAAGGTAGTTTAAATCTCCCTAAATCCATTAATCCCATCAGATAACAAAAACAATAAGAATTATAATATAAATTAATCTATATAAACATGGGGTTCTCCAGCCCACCTGTTAACCCAAGAGTGAATTTAAAAACCTCATAAAACAACAATAAAACACAAAATACCTTAAATCACTTTATATTACTTACCTTTAGGGGTTTATTGATGATATAAAACACGTCAAATAAATCAAACACCTAAAAATATGGACAAAAATGACAAAAAACACAAAAAACTCGACCCTCGTGTTTGAGTTGTTTTGGTCACGAGAATTAGAGAAAAAAAACACAAACCGGCAACTAAAATTTCCCGCGTAATTTATAACATTATTTTCCCCCAATAGATAACACTGAAAATAGATAGATAGATAGATAGTTTAGTCTTAGATAACTATTGAAACAGTTTATTTCGCCAGAACACAGATACAGAGTGGATAATAATAACTATATTAACATGGGTGAACCAGTTGAAAGTCTGAGCTCTCTTGTAGGCCTATATACTGTACATTAGGCCTATGATGCCAGAGGTAGATAGGCCTAGTTTCCTCTCTGGGCTCACAGGTCGTGGCGTCTCACCCTTAACAAAGAAGTGCCAGAATCCCACTTGAAATAATACCATAAACCTTGACCAAAACTTTTACTTTGATTTATTTTGCTCTAACTTCACATCAGTGGAATAAATGCTCTAGTTTATATTTAATTTATCAAGGTAAATATTTGTACCGTTAATGTATATCTATTAGCTACATAATTCAGTATAGTTTCCTTTGTTCCATAATATCTAAAGCCATTTGGGTAATAAGTGTGGCAGGTGATGACGTCCCAGTTGGCCCTCTCAACAACTCGTTCTCTATGATGACCTTAAATATTTATAGTGAAATTAAATCACTAGATGGCTGGACAGTTAAGGGCTGAATATTAACTGAATGTGGTACAAGTTTCTCTATATAACACACCCTTGTGACGTCACCACCAGGCCATTAGCCTGAGTGAGCCGTTAGGGAAGGACATGTTGTTACTGGCTGTTATGTGGTGATTATATTTTAGTATTTATATATTAAGTTATTTAAACACAAGCTTATGTCGCTACTGTCCTCTGTGGTGAGTAAATTGTTGGTATTTTTCTTTAAATAATTAAGTTACATGTGATGTTAGAGTTAGTTAATCACCGCCATGGTAGTTTATCAGGAAGTACAGTAGTTACTGACAGTTTTATTCCTTCATCAAATGGAAATTTAGGTGAAGATGTTTTATGATAAGATAATTGCAAAGATAAACTCCATCATTGTATATAGTATTCTCCCTTGGTATTAGTGCAGTTTATATTGGTGTTTGTAGTAAGAAATAATTCGTTGTCGTCGACGATTTAGTGAATTGACAAAAATTAATTGGGTTAATATTGGTTTTTATCCCAACAGGTATTTCAGATTTTGGGTAATATATAGGACTAACCCGCCAGGGCTGCTGCGGCCGTGTCATCTCACGGCCTCAAACTTCACCATATCAGAGTAAGTTGTTTCTGTTTAATATACCGGGCAAGTTAGGTAAGGTTGGGTCTGTTCTTCATACCCACAAATGTTAAGTAGTGTTTATTTTAAAAATAACATCAACTCAGTTTGAGCTGTAGTTTGGGGACCATTGTTCTTCAAAACTTTGACACAAAACATGGTATTATGTGGAGCTATCCTCTCAGATAGGGAGGGCAGTCCGAGCTCTTTCCTCATGTTTACAATTCTGGTTGATTTAGGGCATCCTAGAATGATGCACATGGCTTCATTTTGCACTACCTCAAGGCTGTTGAGTTGTTTAGGCGGAATAACCACAAGATGGAGAGCATGATAGTCAACTTCAGAACGAATGAAGTGAAGATAGAAAGTACGAGCATAGGTGATGTTAATTCTATAGCCCTTGCCAACAAGGGTTCTGAGGGGTTTAATGTGCTGCATTATACAGCCTTAACAACATCAACCTAGAGAAGTCGACTTGTGAAAGAGACCTAGGGGTACTTGTAAGCCCGGACCTACGACCTAGAAACCAGTGCGTTAATGTTCGAAATAAGGCAAACAGAGTATTGGGTTTTATATCTAGAAGTGTAAGTACAGTAATAAGAATGCAGAGGTCTTATTGCAACTATATCTTGCACTAGTTAGGCCGCACCTTGATTATGCGGTTCAGTTCTGGTGCCCCTATTATAGAATGGATATCAATTCACTAGAGTCGGTGCAGCGAAGAATGACAAAAATGATTCCGGGACTTAGAAACCTTCCGTATCAGGATAGGTTAAAGAAACTAAACTTGCATTCCCTAGAAAGACGAAGAGTGCGGGGAGATGTGATAGAAGTATTTAAGTGGGTGAAAGGAATCAATAAAGGGGATATAGATAAAGTTCTTATAATATCCGAGCAGGATAAGACTCGAAGCAACTGATTTAAGTTGGATAAGTTTAGGTTTAGGAGGGAGATAGGAAGAAACTGGTTCACAAATAGGGTGATGGACGAGTGGAACAAGCTTAGCAACTTTGTAGTAAGTGCTGGAATGCTGGAAAGTTTCAAAAGGAGACTGGATAGAGTCATGGATGATAGAGAGTGGTAGTAACTCTCGACAGGAGCTGCCATGCACAGGCCAACCAGCCTATTGGAGACTCCTTATTTTCTTAGTAGTTTGGCACGAAGGTTGTCGAGAAAGTTTGCATCATCCACACACCCTCCTCCCATCCACTCACCCTTCCTCCCATCCACTCACCCTTCCTCCCATCCACTCACCCTTCCTCCCATCCACTCACCCTTCCTCCCATCCACTCACCCTTCCTCCCATCCACTCACCCTTCCTCCCATCCACACACCCTCCCCATCCACACACCCTCCCCTCCCATCCACACCCTTCCTCCCATCCACACTCCACCTCCTGTCCATCCCCCACACCCTCCTCCATCACACCCCTTCCTCCCCATCCACCACTCTCCTGTCCATCCACTCACCCTTCCTCCCATCCACACACCCTCCTCCTATCCACACACCCTTCCTCCCATCCACACACCCTAAGGGTCTTTTTAAATCTTTCAAGGTTGTGTGGCTGTCTGAGGTGAATGGTTGACTGGCTGAGGCGAACGTCTGGCAGGACAAGAACCCCACCAAACAGGTAAAGGTACTTGTGACAATATGTAATGTCTATGGTCAGTCCACACAGTTCAACACCCAGTCCTCCAACACACACCCAGTCCTCCAACACACACCTCCACTGCCCAGTGTAGAGCACAGTGTTGGAGGGTTTATGTGGGCTGACCATAATAGCTAAGATAATATATAAGTAACTTAACTGATGAGGCTGAAGTAACATGCTGGTGTTAATGTTGCTCAAGGTTCTGTCACTTCTCCATTGGCCTTCAAGTACACCAGCTGTCACCTACAACATGTTTAAGTTGTAATTTACGAAGAATGAAAATTAAACTTGCAAGTTCCATCTACCCCTACACCACGTGTACTTAAACTGTCCCCAACTGTTTACATAAATCATTACCTCCACATTAGTTTACTCAAATTACGTCTCGCCAACACCAATACAGTACCGCTACACTATACTGTACATCACATTTCGACAAGGCTTCAACACTATAGTTTTGGCGCTTTTTGGTTGTTGATCAATGTGTTTTTCCGATGGTAAAATCCATGGTTGTCCACTTTTAAAAATTTACCCTTAATGTTACTGAATTTAATATATACTGTATTCTGAAACACCTCAACCTTCTGAAACGTCTCGCCCTCCGCCGGCTCCCTGCCTCACCTCACCTCACCTGGCTCCCCACCTCATCTTGCCTCGCCCGGCTCCCTACCTCACCTCGCCTCACCTGGCTCCCCACCTCATCTTGCCTCGCCCGGCTCCCTACCTCACCTCGCCTCACAATTGGCGTGGGCGAACTTACTATTACTGAGACGGGGGAAGCTGCTGTGAAGTCCTCTATATTAGCCAAAATATTGTATCATATATGCTCTGATCATGTCTGAGGTATAAAAATTCCTGACTCATGTTTACAGTCCGAGGATTATTTCTGGGGTTATAGGGTCAGGTCTGATTTTTTGGTTCATATCTCTAGCTCTTGAGTTATGTCTGAATCTCTAGAAGTCATGTTGGAATCTCAAGAGGTCATGTTGGAATCTCAAGAGGTCATGTTGGAATCTCAAGAGGTCATGTTTGACTCAAGAGGTCATGTTTGAATCTCGAGGGGTCAGGTCTGATTTGCTGTCATCTCAAGCGTTAACATACACTAAGATCCACAAGTGACAATTTTTAAAGTGTAAACCTGGATTTTAAGATCAGGCTTTTAAAACATCATCCAAATGAGTTCAGAACCTTGTGTTAGCCAGGCAGGAGAGAGTAAGCACTGGACATGTTGAGTTTCTTTTAAGATTTACCAAGCGTGAGATGCAACTAGGCTATCAAGGTTAAATTTTCCCTTCTAGTTTGTCAAGATTATATTGTAGTGATATTTCCCAAGCTTGAGGGGGTAAGTGTAATGACTCAGGAGGAGGAGCTGGTTGACATGTGTTCACCACCACCACAACCAGTCCACCTGCCTTCACCACAGCACCCAGATGGGCTGGCGTGTTTTCATCTGCCATTCGAATTCCATTTTCTATAACATATGCCATTAAATACTATTTGTACCACATTACCATTTTGACAATAAAATGATGAAAGAATATGTGTATGTGCTTATCCTCTTAGTGTACATAAAACAACCAGGAGTTTGTCACAGGAAGAGAATACCTTTAATATATATATTTCCGGTTTGTATTGCCTTCTTAGTCAGTTCTCTTTACCCTTGAACAGCTGACTATCACTAGTCGGTCCTGGTATAGTTAGCCAGAGAAATACAGATACAGAGTGGATAATAATAACAATATTAACATGGCTGAGCCAGTTGAGAACCTGAGCTGCACCTGATATATACTATACATTTATCTCAAGGAAGTATTATGTAACATTTAGTATCATCTGGAATAGTACAATAGCATGGTGGTAATAACAACATGTTACCGCGGTTATCACTTCAATATTTATTTATTTTATTATTTATTATTTTTATTTATTTTTTATTTATTTATTATTTATTATTTATTATTGTTTGTGTTACCGTCTTCAGAATGTTATGATACTGGAAATGTGATGGGAAGTGTATTTATTTAACGTGGCATCTCCCAGAGTTCTAAAAAGTGCAAAGACTACTGCACCAAGGGACCCAACAGGTGTGGCGTTCCCAGGGCACCTATTGTGTTCCCTACTGTATAGTATGCCTGTATCTGGGGTCCCAGGGGCCCATGCAGGGGCGCTAACGACCCCAGGGGCTATCCCAGGGACAGGAGAACTCCGCAGAACGGCGGCGCCCTTAGAGGCCCTCTCGAGGACAGCATCGCTCCCAGGGCCCCAACGAGGGACGACGGCGCCTCTAGGTATATTAATACACCCTGTACCTGGACCCTAGTGGCAGGAATGTGGACTGAGGACGACCATATGTACGGTAATAACACAGTAAATATAGTTTATACCTTTAGAATAACTCAAGAGGCACTAGAGTGTGAAGTAACAAGACGATCTGTGACCAAGAGGAGAGAGTAAAATAAACTTACAGGACATAACATAGTTTCCCTTACCAAAGTGACTCTCTCTTAAATATTAAATGCTTATGAATTTTATTTAAATAATTAAGTGAACAATTGGTAAATTTTTATTTAGTTTTTACTAGTAATTAGCAAATATAAATTAAACCTAAATAAATAAAGAAAAATAGAAATATATACAGAAATAAAGGAGAAATAACAAAAATATCCAATATTACCAAAAATAAAACTAAAATTCTATATAAGAGGGGAGGTCCATCTTGTAGAAAGATCAGAAAAACCCACAATAAAAACTAATAAAAAAAGATGGGGATCATCCTTCTAGTGACACAAGGGTCATGGAGGGACTCCCCTAACATATAAAGGCCCAAGAAAACATGAAATAGAATAACTTGGCTTGACTGAGACCGGCCTGGTACTGCACCCTCAGAGCTAATGAGTTTAGGGGGACAATACCAAACCTGTGTACAACTTGTAAGATGCAGTTGACTGATTAAATATAATAGTTACCCCGGCGACGTTTTCTGTGATCAAATATAATAGTTACCCCTAAAACCTTCCTCTCATCAATACCTTATTCTTCTTCTTCTTTCTCTCATCAAAACACTAATCCTTCTTTTTATTCTTCTTCTTCTTCCTCTCATCAAACCACAAGGAAATAACACAAGATAGATGGAAGAAACAAATTTCAAAGTGTGTGGTAATGGTCCCTGCTGGAGGGAGGCCTTATATAAAGTTATCAAGGCATTATTGACAAAGTATT